ATTCCCTGAGATAAAAAAATACGTTTAATAACTTTTATTAAAGAAATAGAAGGCACAGGTGATTATATTAACTAGGTATCACCGCCCATATCCCTGTGACCTAATTACTGTGATTGTAAAAATAAATAACAACAAAATATAACAACCAAAGTAATCCTAATATAAACCACAAAATTAACTATTTAAACTTCATCGTAATAAATCCATTCATGGCTCCTACATGCCAGCCCCTCATTATTAGGCTATTACATAATAATTACATTACACACATTAATAGGAGGCATGAAGCAATTAAAACTTACTCAATGTCCACATATTCACTTTACATTTCTGTCTTCTTTCTTCCTCTCGATCCTGTGAATGAGTCATAAGTCAGTAGGGCCAGAGGTTACCAGCACATAACCCTGATGTAGAGCCCTGCGCGGGACTGTTTTCATCAACCCGCTCCTGCCCACTCCCGCTGAATTTCTGAACATTACCGCCCGCAACCGCAACGTGTGTATTACACTCCCGCCCGCTCCCGCAATGTGTATGTCCACTCCCGCCCGCACCCGCAAAACTCTGAGAATTTATGCCCGCACAATAATAGAGATCGATGATTTTGTGTCTTCTCCTGTCCCGCAGGAGAAAACACGTCATTTTATAGGCTATTAAGAAAGAGATTCATGGGGTTGTTTGTTTCGTTTCCCTGGCCTGCATGTCTTTTGACGCACTGGTCAGGAATTGCGCTCCTATTTCTTTGTTTTCATTTAGTTTTTAATGAAATAAAGACTGTTTCATATTCTATTCTCCTCCTCTGTATTTTATTTATTTTTCTACTTTTATATAATCATGCAGTGATTGAGGTTAAGGCAGGCCTGGCGCCAGGATGAAGTTACTGAGGGGGCGGTTAAAAATTACGAGGGGGCAAATCTTTATAACTCACTGTGAACCTATGTTGCATAATAAAGAGCGCGCAGCCGTGCGTAATTGTTGCGCGTAATGACAGCTCGTCGCCGGTGAAACACAATAAACTGCACGTCTTCTTTAATATTTGTGTCATCACAGATGGAGCTTATAGACAGGCAGACAGGTGGAGCAAGCGGCAAATTGGTATGAAAGGTGGTTCAGGGCATATTTGTCCATTTTTTGAATAAATATAGAGTGGAAACGCTTATGCATGTGCACCAAGATCCCGTGGTGGGTTTTTTTAGCCGCCCGTTCCCGCCCGCAGCAAAGTCCAAACAGCCCGCTCCCCAATGCAGCCCTCTACCCTGATGTGATCAGTGATCTTCACAGTCACTCTGTCAGTCAAAGTCAGAGTCAAGGCAGAGGTCAAGGTGTCGTTGTGTGTACCAGTAGGACTCGTCCTGTGACCCATGAGTTAGGAGGTGCCGTGTTGTCCACTATAAGCACTATATCTCCAGAAACAAGGTTGCGCTTCACTCCTGACCATCTCTGACGCTCTTGCAATTGAGGTAAGTACTCTTTAACCCATCTCTTCCAGAACAGGTCTGACGTATACTGGACCTGCTTGCATCGCCTGCAAGCATACATGTCTGCCTCTTGGAAGACTCCTGGTGGCAAAAATGGTAAGGTCTTCAAAAGTAGCAGGTTATTTGGCGTCAATGCTTCTAGGTCATGAGGATCCATGGATGCTTTGGTAATCGGACGGCCTTTGATAATGGCTTCCACTTCACAGAGATCTGTATGAAGGCCTTCTTCATCCAAGTTTTGCATATTCAAAGTGGAATTGTGGACTTTCCGGATCGATCTGATTAACCTTTCCCAAGACCTCCATGATGCGAGCCAGCTGGGGGGTTAAAAGTCCACTTTATCCCTTTCTGAAGGAGAATGTCATTTACCTGCGACTGATTCCACTGCTCAATGGCTGCTCTCAATTCACGCTCTGCTCCTATGAAGTTTGTCCCGTTATCAGAGCGCAGTTCCTGAACTTGGCCAAGTCTCGCTGTAAAGCATCTAAGTGCATTTATGAAGACGTTCGTGTTGAGTGAAGGTGCCACTTCAGTGTGGATTGTTCGTATTGCCATGCAGGTAAAAATGACCCCATAACTCTTCACAACACTCCTTCTGCTCCTCACCATGAAAGGTCCGAAATAGTCTACTCCAACCCGAGTAAATGGAGGCTCATCTGGAGTAACCCTTTCAGAAGGTAAGTCTGCCATCTGCTGGGGCACTGGCTGAGCATTCAATCGTCGACAGATAACACACTTTGATAGAACTAGACCTCATGGCTGTACTAGCTCCAGTGATCCAATATCCCTCATGCAGCTTGGACAACATGTGGTTTTGCCCACCATGTCCCACCTCTGGATGGATGTGCCTTAGAAGAAGGGTTGAGATAGGTAGATCCTTAGCCAGTATTATAGGATGTTTAGCTTCTACAGGCATAAATGACCTGCTGAGCTGACCACCAACTCTCAGAACACCATCCTCCATTAGTGAGCAGAGTGTGTAGATGTGACTATGCCCCTTAACACTTTTACCCTTCTGCAGCCTCGAGAATTCCTCTTGAAACTTCCTCCTTTGGCTGAACTTTATGATCTCCAGTTCTGCCTTCTCAAGCTCCTCCACTGATAGACAACTTGGAGCCATCTTTCTCTTGAAAGTTTCCATATCCTTCTCCAATGAGCATTGTTGATGTTCCACATCTAAGTCAGACTGCGCAAGACCCATGTTCAGTTGTCTCTCTTCCGACAGAGAGACAAGAGCCAGGTCTTAAATCTCAAGATCCAGGCCACAGACTTTCTCAGATGGGTCCAAGAGCTATAGTAATGAATCATGCGAGTCACTGCATCAACCTCCTCATTGGCCTGTACAGAATTCACTGTGGCTGCTTTCTAGACCTCAGGGTCATCTGCTCCATAACCATCTTTGCTTGCGTCACAGAAATCATGTAACTGTGCTGTGGTCACCTCTCCAAAGTCCAGTGGTTTCAGACATCTCATGATGTTACATTTCTCCAAATGGCAAAGTTCATCCAGCCAAATTGTCCACTCCTGAGCTACAGTCTCGGGTATGACATCATCCCAGCCAAGTGCTCTCCTGCACATATCCCTTAAGATCTTCTTTGCAGAGAAGATGACAGAACTCAAGATACCAAGAGGGTCATAGATGGAGTTAACCATACAGAGAATTCCTCTCCTGGTGAGTCGTCTGTCCTTAACAACAATCTTGAACTTAAAGGTAGACTGGATGCACCATTCCACACCAAGCACTCTCTCCACATGTAGCAAATCCTGGTCCATGTCCACCTTTCATGTCCTTAGCTCTGTGCTCTTCAGGTATTGCAGCCAGATCATCACACCTGTTGCTTATCCACTTCGTGAGTTGGAAACCACCTTTAGCACATATCGACACAAGGTCATGATAAAGAGACCCTGCCTCCTTCTCTGAAGCCACAGCCACAAGACAGTCATCCACATAAAAGCAATATAGGACCTTATCCACTGCTTCCTGGCTGAACTGTTCTTTGTTGTCCTCTGCGCATTTCCTGAGGGTAAAATTGGCACAGCTGGGAGAGGATTTTGCCCCAAAGAGATGGACCAACATCCTGAAGTCAACAAGGTCCTGATTTAAATCCCCATCAGGCCACCAGAGGAATCTCAACAAATCAGCATCCTCTGGTGGCACTCTGACCTGATGAAACATGGATTCCACTTCCGCCATGATCACCCCTGGTTCTTTCCTAAACCTGCTCACCACTCCAATCAGTGAACTTGTAAGTCCCCTGTAAGAGCTGAGCATTAAGTGATGTTCCCTGGAAACTCACTCCACAGTCAAAAACAACTCAGATCTTCCTTTTTGTAGGATGGTAAACACCATAGTGTGGGATGTACCAGACCCTGCCATCACTACGTTCCAAATTCTCTTCAGGCACCCTTTCAGCATAGCCTTTGGGAATAAGGTTATTCAGGAAGGCTGTATAGTTAGAATGAAATGAGGAATCCTTCTGAAGCCTCTTCTTGAGGTGTAAGGCATGCTGCTCAATGATTTTCCTGTTATTTGGCATGCTAACATCCCTTTCCCTCAAAGGCAAGTTGATCTGATAATGGCCATTCACCTGTTTTGCTGAGTTTGTGACCAGATCCATGAACTTCTGATCTTCTCTTGACATACCAGGCTGTTCATCCATGCTGCATTCAGGGAAATCTGTCTTAAACTGCTGTTGCCAAAGTTCGTCCAAATTCACAACAGACACTCTAT